AAAATTCTACTTGTTTTTATTTCATGTGTCTGCATGTTTGCCTGCATACATGGAAGAACACTTCATGCATGGCATGCTTGGCACCTGCAGAGGCCAGACAAGGTTGTAGTGTCCCCTAGAGCTCAGGGCTACAGATGTTTGTGAACTGCCTGAGCGGTGCTGGAAACCAAACTTGATTTCCCTGCAAGTGCAGTAAAAATTCTTCCCCTCCCCCAAAGATTAACTTTTATTTTATGCATGTGTGTATGTGCACCCTGTGTGTGCAGGTGTCTGTGGGGGCCAGAAAAGGGTGTGAGACCCTCTAGAGCAAGGGTTACAGGTTTTTGTGAGATACCTTTGTGGATGCTGGGGACCAAACTTGAGCCCTCTGTGAGATCAGCAGATGCTCTTAACTGCTGGGCCATGTCTCTCCAGCTTCCAGCAGTGCTGTTCTTAACCCCTGCGCCCTTTCTCTAGACCAGAGCTGGATATTTCTGAAGAGTGGCTAACCGAGCTATGAATTGTATCTCAAGTGAAGCGGTGAAAATACCATCCTTGCTCTCTATGGTTAATTCTCCATTCGAGGGCATCGGCTTGCTTCTGTCAGATAAGTAAACAAGTCCTGATGTCAGGAAACTGAGCAAGGAGTGAGTGTCAGGCTGAAGAGATGGCGCAGCTGGCGAAGGTGCTCGCTGCCAGGCTTGATGACTTGCGTTCGATCCCTGCGACTGGCGTGGTGGGAGAGAACCAGCTCTCACACATATTCTCTGACCTCCACACATGCCCCATGGCGTGCACATGCGTAAACGCCCACAGGCAAAAAGAAGAAAATGCCCAATCGCGGGAACTGTTAGCAGGTGCTGTCGGTGTTTGGGGAGGAAGGACGAGGATGAGAGAGAACAGAGGGATACAGGCAAGGTGGGATTTAAATGAAACCCTGAACCACAAGTGAGATTCATTGAGCTTTCTGGGGATTTGGAATGGCTGGAAATTCTCTCCGTGTCTAGTGTTCCTCTTGTCCCCAGGACTCTAAGCTTCCTTTGTCTTGACACTGATCTAGACTCCAGCTGCTCATTGCTGCACCTGGGGCATGCCCTGCTGCCCGCTGCATTCTAGTTGCAACCAGTGGTGGTGGAGTGACTTGCTTGCTGGGTGGGGTACCAGCTCCGGGCCAGCATGGAGTGGGTCTTTGTTCACGAAGACTTCTTGTGAACTCAGTAATCCTGACAAGACCAGCTGGTCAAGCTTTTAATTTACTGGTTCTCTACCTATGGGTTGTGACCTCTTTGGGGTCGAACTACCCTTTCATGGTGATCGCATATCAGATATTTACATTACAATTCATAACAGTAGCAAAATTACACTTGTGAAGTAGCAACGAAAATAATTTCAGTGGTTTACGGTCGCTGCAATGTGAGGAACTGTATTAAAGGGTCGCAGTGTTAGGAAGATTGAGAACCACTGCTCTAGGTGCTTGTGCGGAGAGAATCGGCAAGACAGGGATACTCTCAGCAGCCATCTTTGAGGAACAATCAGGAATCACTTTGTAGAAGCCAAAATCTAAGAGCGTTGCTGCAATTTCGAGAAAAGAGCTGAGCCGGCTGAGCACTATGGACTCTCTGGAGGCTCGCTGGCTTCGAACACAAACGATGACGTCCCCAGAGGGTGGCTCTGCTCTCATCAGTCTCTATCCTCACTGCTGCTAATAGTAAGATGTCTCCTGTGACTGGAGACCATTCCTGCAGGCTTCTTCTGGTTGCTGTGGGCAGATCCAAAGTGTCTTATTTATGTCATCTAGACCTCAAGCAACCTGAGTGCAGGATTTGGTTGTCATCCTCACAGATGGTATCTCCCCGATGGTGCATAGTTCCTGGCATGGCAACCTTCAATGAATAATGTCTGTATATATTACAGCTTACTTCTAACACCCAAAATCTCATCTCTTGGTTTATCATACCTACTTACTGTAAAGGCAGGAGGCACCTGTGAACACTGGGAACACGCATCCTAACAGAAAACTGTTTTCACGTGTTTGGTATAAAATCAAGTAAGAAACGAATGCAATGGGTAGTGGTGGCACACACCTTTAATGCCGGCACTCGGGAGGCAGAGGCAAGTGGACCTCTGTGAGTTCGAGGCCAGCCTGGTCTACAGAGTGAGCTCCAGGACAGCCTGGGCTACAAAGAGAAAACTTGTCTCAAAAAAAAAAAAGAAAACAAAACAGAAATAAAACAACAACAACAGCAACATAAAAAAACGCCAACCAATTAAACAAAAAAGAAATGAAGGCAATACATTAATTATCCTAATGATGCTGATAACATTACTTGGAGGCCATCCTCCTTTGATGTTTGGAAATATGTTCTTACATTGTACCATTCATCTAAATTCCATTTTCTTCCCAGAAGACTATAGATGCTTTTATAAATACAGTGCGCGAAACTGCACTAGATGGCTCAGTGGTTTGGAGAACACCATTCTTGCTTGTAATTCTAGCTCCAGGGGGCACAACAGCCTCCCGGGCTACCTGTATTCGCAGGTACACACCTTCCCACATATACATAACTATAAAAATAACAAATTAGAAACTAGCAGATGAGAAGGAGTCAGATCAAAGGGCTGAGTTTAAGTGGTGCATGCTTAGCCATAGATGGCAGTGTTAAAGCCCTCCACCCCTAAGACCTAGGGAACATCTTGGAGGAAGGCTGGGATGAATCTAAGGGCAGGAAAAGTGTTGGGAATCCCTGTCTTCAGTACATGACTTGGCTGTGGCACAGCTCACGGCAGTTGTGGTCATATGTGCAAGACCTCCACGGGATCAAGCCAGTTCAAACTCTGCAGGGGTGGTGGTGCACATTTTTAATCCCAGCATTCCAGGCAGTGACAGGCAGATCTCTGAGTTTGAAGGCAACTTAGTTTACAGAATGAGTTCTAGGCCAGTCAGAGCTACATAGTGAGACCTTACCTCAAACAGCAATGAACAAAGCATCATCATCAACAACAACAACGAAAGAACTTCAGAATGAGCGAGGGAGCGATGCCCATGGCCCCGCTCCCAGCCGAGGAGCTATTAGTTACTTTGCGAGGGAAGGAGAGGCACTTTTCTATGGGTTTGTGTTCACTTGTGCATTGCCTGTGCCTCACTGGACATCCCCATGCACATATGGGAAGAAAAATGAATGAAATTGGGAAGGAGATATGCTGGGGTGTAGGGATGTTGAAACAGAGAATAGGGGATGGGTGAGATCAAGATACCTTGTGTGCTTGTATAAAATTTCAAATAATAATTTTTTAAGATGAGCCTGGACATGCCACCAAAAGAGAAATGTAACTCCAGGCCAGACTCAACTCCTTGTGTCCTGCCTGCAGGACGTGCTACAGCAATGGGGACACAAAGCTCATGGAAACAACCAACTCATAACCGTTTTGATTTAAGGGCCATTCCACAGATGGAATCTATACCCAACATTGTTGGGTGACCAAGAACCCAGAGACCTAGAGTAAAACCAAATACAATGGTCTTAAAAAATAGTGCTATCATGATTCCTAATGACATTGTACTATTCTCATAGACTAGTGCCTATGGTCTATCTAAATCCACACTCTATCTCTACTATTCACAGAGATCCTCCTGCTTCTGCCTCCAGAGCAATGGGTTTAAAGGCGTGTGCCACCACCACCTGGCTCATTATTATCTCTTAGAAACCTGTTCTTTTTTTCCTAGGTGTGCTTGTTTTTCTTGTTGTTGATTGGATGGTTTGATGTGTTGGTTTATTTGTGTTCCTCTACCTGGCTGTAGATACATTGCTGCCTATGGCTTGCTCTTTCTGTCACGGTGTTGGTGTAGACAGCATAACATTTACTACTGCAGCCACATAGAAGACACAACACCACCCCATCAGTCATTCACACTGTTGGCAACCATTAGCATTCTCCACCTTCCCAGAGTAAAATCCACCCCCGTTAGATATTAACTCCACCTTTCTCCTCCCCTTCTGAATCGTCTGTGTAGAGCTGGAGGCACATGAATTGGGCAAATGACCGAGTTTAGGCCTGGATTACTCTTCTTTCCCTCCAGACCTTTCAGAGACAGAAAAGCAGTCCAAGACCCACTGCTCAGCCGTGGGACAGGGCACAAACTCTCTACATAACAAGGAGGATTTCTAGGAAGCTGTATTTTACAATAAAGCTTAAAACTGAATCTGTTGGGGAGCTCGCTCCCTCATGGGTTCTCCCGATTTAGATTCTGGGACCTATTCAGTTCATGTACATTGTACTCTCTCAACTGCCAGAAATGAAGGAGAAAGATTACGTTACATGGGGGAGTCATATGACAAGGAAGTCCCAGGCTGCCGGACAGAGCCACAGGCTGGACCTTCTGTGGCCAAGACTCATCATCCCTAAGGGATGGCTCTCCGAACGCCAGATGGGCGGTCACTGGCATGGACAGGCAACAGATGCCCCCAGCCTGTTTTCTTCTCTGACTCCAGGGAACAGCAAATCCTGTCCTCTCTGGAAACATGAACAAGGATGATAAATATTCTCAAGCATTTGAGTTATGCCAAAGGCATGTCTTAAAACCAGAAATAAACAAGCGGCTTTGAACCAAGATGAAGTCACAGAGACAATCTCACAAACCTCAGACTCAGGATTTCAGGGCCCGTGTCCTCTCAAGCAGGTGGCATCAAGGTCAGCAAAAGTGTGTGTGCACGTTTGTATCTTAGCTTGTGTTTTGTGTAAGTGTGTACTGTCATTTTTCTAAATACTTTTACAGTGAAATACAATGCTTTATTGGAAATCATTACCTCATTTACAGCAAATTGTTCCTAAATCAATTATTTTCCTCTTTAATTTGACATTCTTCAGAGGATTCCAAGTACACAGCAAACCTTGGTGTTTGGCTGTTTTGTAACTGCTACCACAATACAGTAGTCGTGGGATTTTCTTTTTCTTTGAGGTTGGTTGTGTAGTGGTATCATTTTCTGTGATTATGCTGACTTCACATTGCTTCCTTTTTCCAGTGTGGTGCTTCACATCACTTTCCCAATGTGCAGAGCACTGCTAGCCTCCACGAACTCGCGTGGCTGGCACTGGAATGGCGTTGAGCACGTCGAAGAGACTATCCTCCACCCTCTTCTCATTTAACGCTCCCCACGAGCCGTTAGCTTCATTTAGCAGATGAAAGAAACGAGGCAAGTAACAGTTTCAAATGCTAATTTGCATTTATGCTGAGAGATGTGGATATGTTCAAATTGGGGTTTCCCTCATTAGCCAAAATTGTTTTTAGTAGACTTATTTTTAGGCCACGTTTCGGTTCGCACAAAAACTGAATGAAAAGCGCAGAGATTTCCCATGTGTCCCTGCCCTCGTTCATGCATTCCTCCCCATTCCTAGCATCTCTCCCCACACTGGGATATTTGTTGGAAATCAGAGCCTGCATTGACATATTGCCACACAGGACTCACAGCTCACAGCAGACTTCTCTTAGAGCTGGTATGTTTAACGGCTGTGGAAATTTTGTAATGACATTTATCCATGGCAATAGTATTGCTCCGAGAGGCTTTGTTGCTTCAACTATCCTCCGTTCTCCACCTTTCTCCCTCTACCCTCCTAGCCCTCGGTCACTGCCAATTTTCTTACTGTCTTAATGTTGGTAGTTTTGCAGTTTTCAGACTGTCACACACTTCAAGTGACACAGGGTGTGGATTTTTCAGACTGACTCCTTCAGTTAGTGGTATGCATTTTTAAGGCTTCTCTGCATATCTATTTTAAAGATTTGGTTATCTTATACTCATGTATGTGTTTTTAGGCACACATGTGTGTTTATGGGTGTCCACAGACATGAGAAGGTGGCCATGGAGCACCTGAAGTGGGTGTCACAGGTTTGGAGTCACTTGATGCTGGTGCTGGCAATTCCAATTCTGGTCCTTCCATAGAGCAGTCAAGGCTCTCAGGCTTGGAGCCGTCTCTCCAGTCAGTCTCTGGGGAGTCCTATGTGTATTCTCTGGGTATTTGGTAGCTCATTTCTTTTAGTAGCTAAATGGTGTTTCCAGACAATGGGCATGAGTTCATTTATCTATTCAGCTGCTGAAAGACATCTTGATTTCTTATAAGCTATAGCAATCAGGAATAAGGCTGGCTATTAGGTGCAAGGTTTTGTGCGGAAATAGACTCTTTTCTCCTTTAGGTAAATTTCCAGGAGCTCAGCTGCTGGGTTGTATAGTAAGAACATCTTTAGCTTTGTAAGAGATTGCCCGACTATCTTGGCTGTACCATGTTGTATTTCCTCCAGCAGTGCATGAGAATCCCTGTGTGCGAATCTACAGTTCAACGTTATAGCGGCATTTTCTCAGTTAAGGCTCCCTCCTCTCAGGTGGCTCTAGCTTGTGTCAACTTGACATGAAACTAGCCAGCACCTAGTGTGCATTAAAGTGAAAGCCCACAAAAGTCTATTTAATAACTTATTAAGGGGTACAGTGGAAAAACAAACTCACCCCAAATGTCTTCAGCTAAGTGGATCAAGCTCCCACAACATTTCCCCTTTTATTTCTAATAAAGAAGGGTCTAATCCTAGCATCAACTACATACTGCTCTTTCAGAGCACCTGCGTTTGGTTCCCAGCTCCCACACCAGGCACTCAGAGCTGCCTGTTAACTCCAGCACCAGGGGATCTGATGCCATCTCCTGGCCTCCTCTTCTACTGTGTTGTCTTTGCCATGTCACAGACCTAAAAGAAATGCACTGAAATCCTGAGCTGGAATAACTCCCACCCTGTGTTAGGAAGCTTGTTACCAAGAGAGAAAAATGCCACGCTAACCTTCCTGGTTTTGAAGTCTGCGTTATCTGAATTAATATAGTTCTTCCTGTTTTCATTCGGCTAGTGTTCAAGCCATGCCCTTTTCTACCCTTTTCCCTCATATCCTCTCTTCTTTCCTTCTTCCCAACCTCCTCCTTTTGAAAGAGGGTCTCAATATGTAGACATTAAGATCTTCCCACCTCATCTTCATGAATCCCGAATTACAGGTATGTGCCATTATGCCCACGTTACCTCTACATGTGTTTTATATTTTAATTGCTTTCTTTTTTTTTTTTTAAGTAAATGTTTCTTTTATTTATGCATTATTAGAAGAATAGCTAGCATTTAATAAGTGTTTATGATATGTCAGGTACTATGTGAATCACAAAATTATTTCATATAATCTTTAACAATTCTCTGAGGTATAAACTTTTTTTTTTCTTTTTTAAATTTATTTATTAAGGATTTCTGCCTTGTCCCCACAACCGCTTCCGCCTCTGCCTTTAATTGCTTGCTTATAGAAAACACGTATTTGCATCTTTTTTGATTCTTTGTTGATCTCTGTTTTGAACTGTCATAATTAGGTCATTAGTGTTAATTGTTTAGTTGATGTGTTGGACTTAGTGTGCCTCCCCACATTTACTGGGTTTTCATTGGTGTCCTTGCTCATTATCCCCATTTTGTCTTCCTCTTCTGCCTTTTGTGGTCCTAATTGATCATTTAGTATCATTTCATTTTATCCTTTTCCTTAACATATATTATGCTTTTTTTAAAAAAAATGTGGTTTTGTTTTACATTTGGCTACCCTTGAGTTTGCAATATGCACTTAAAATGAATCCACGCCCATTCTTAAATAATTCTAACTCATGAGGAGTGCAAGGTGGTCATAAACCCTCCTCCTGGTTCTTCATTTCACTTCCCTCTAAGTACAACTACACATCTATAAATGAAATAAAACTTCACCATTAAAATTTCCACAGCTGTCTGTGATATCAAGTAAGTAGAACAGTAAAGAACTTTGATTTGATCTTTATTTATTTTTCCATTTTAGCACTCTTCTATTCTTTCGTGCATGTGTGTGTGTGTGCATGTGTGTATGTGTGTGAATGCATGCATATGAGAGAGAGAGAGAGAGAGAGAGAGAGAGAGAGAGAGAGAGAGAGAGAGAATTTTACCTGCATGAATGTGCATGCGCCATGTGTAGGTCTGGTTCCCACAGAGGCCAGAAGAGGGGTCAGGAACCCCTAGAACTGGAGTTACAGATGGTTGTGAGCCATGTTTGTGGGTGCTAGGAATCGAACCCAGGTCCTCTGCATCTCTGAAAGAGCAGCAAGTGTTTTTAATCACTGGGCCTTCTCTCTAACCCCTTTCTTTCACTGTATAGGTGTGTGTGTGTGTGTGTGTGTGTGTGTAGAACTTCTTTGACACGTCTTATAAAGTAACAGTGCTGCCCATGAATGAATTTCTTCAAAAGATTTGAAGCTAGATCTCACATAGCCCATGCTGGCCTTAACCTCACCTTATTGTTCAAGCGCTATGGTCACAGGCACACATCACAACACCAACTTTCTCCTTGGTTTTTCTAATTTTATTCATTTTTGAGTTTTTTAGAGAGTCTCCCTTTATAGCTTGACTGTCCTGACATTCATTATGTAGCCCAGGTTGGCCTTCAGCTCACTGTGTAGTCAAGAATGAGCTTATCCTCCAAGCCCTGTGATCACAGGCATGCATCTCCACACCAGCTATCTCTCTAATTTTTTATTTTTATTTCATGGATTTTATTTTTTTAATTTAATTTATTTATTTTATTTTTGAATTTCTGAGACAAAATCTTACTGTGTGGTTCTAGCTGTCCTGGAACTCACCATGTAGACCAGGCTTGCCTTAAACTCACAGAGTTCTGCCTACCTCTACTGAGAACAGGAGAATTCTAGGAATAAGGAAGCCCATTCCTACCAGTCCTGCCCAGACCCCTGAAGAAGCAGAATGTGACATACCCTACTAAAAAAGCTACTGAGCCATGTGGCTAACATAGATAAGAATAATGGGTTAATATAAGCTACAAGAGCTAATAAGATAAGAAGCCTGAGCTAAGGGGCTGATCAGTTTATAACCTAATGTAGACTCTCTGAGTGATTTTCTTTGGGGGCTTACTGGCTGTGGAAACCCCAACAAGCAAGCCCTCATGTTACATACCTCTACCTCCTGAGCTCGTGGGATTAAAAGTGAGCACCACCATGCCTAGCTTTCACTTTTACTTTTGGAGTGGCTCACCACATAGAGAATTGTACCCCAGACTGTTTCAACCAACACCTTCAACATTTTATTGCCCAACTCTTTTCTTGATTTCATGATTTCTGAGGAGACATAGGTATAATTCTAGTCTTTTCTCCTCTGTAAATAGAACGTTGCTTTCACTTTGCCTCATTTTGAAGAATTAAAGAGTAATAATTTCATTGATTCTAAACTCTAAACGCTATGCCCAGGTGTCATTTTTCTGCTTATCCTGGTTTAGCCACTTCCTGCTTTGTAAGCTTTCCAGACCTGTAGTTTTGTGTGTGATGCTAATTTGGGGGAATTCCTCGGTCCTAACTGCTCAGCTACACCCTCAGATCCTTTCGTGAGTCTCCCTGTGTTCTTGGCGCATGTGCACCCCAGCCTTTGAAGTGTCCCATCTGCACTTGGATGTTCTGCTCTGGGTTTCTCTGGCATACTCCCCTTCCCTCATTCGCTCTTCAGCTTGGGATCTTTCAACTGAGATGCCCTTCAGCATGGAGATTCTCCCTTCTATGTTCAGTCTACTAATGAACCCATCAAAGGCATTCTTAGCACGTTACAATGTTTTTGATTTCTAGTACTTATTTGGTTCTTAGGAGTCTCACCTCTGCCTAAATTGCCCATTGATTTCCACAGAGTCTACTTTGTCTATTATGTTCCTTAGCCTATTGTTAAACGGCTTATTTATGTAACTATTGTCTTTTCTCTTGAGACTGAGTCTTACTCTATAGTCCAGGCTGGCCTTGAAGGCACTATGTAGCCCAAGCTAGCCCAGCTCACTGTGCTTTCCCTGCCTCAGCCGGCCAAGTTCTGGCCTTAAAGCTAGGGGCCATCACAGGCAGTTTATTTGTGTTTGTTTTAAATTCTCAGTCTGATAACTTTATTGTTCATGCTTATTTGAAGCTGATTCTCACTCATGCTTGCTTTGCTTGGTCGTAATGTGCTTTTGCCGTTTCATATTTCTTAGAATTTTTTAATTGATTTTATAGAGCTCTACATTTTTCTCTGCTTCCCTTCCATCCTCTCCCCTCCCCTTCAACCCTCTCCCAAGGTCCCCATGCTCCCAATTTACTCAGGCAATCTTGTCTTTTTCTACTTTCCATGTAGATTATATCTATGTATGTCTCTCTTAGTGTCCTCATTGTTGTCTAGGTTCTCTGGGATTGTGATTTGTGGGCTGATTTTCTTTGCTTTATGTTTAAAAACCACTTATGAGTAAGTACATATGATAATTGTCTTTCTGGGTCTGGGTTACATGACTCAATATAATGTTTTCTAGCTCCATCCATTTGCCTGCAAATTTCAAGATGTCTTTATTTTTTCTGCTGTGTAGTACTTCATTGTGTAAATGTACCACATTTTCCTTATCCATTCTTCAGTCGAGGGGCATTTAGGCTGTTTTCAGGTTCTGGCTATGACAAACAATGCTGCTATGAACATAGTTGAGCACATGTCCTTGTGGCATGGTTGAGCATCCTTTGTATATATATACTCCAAAGTCTTATTGCTGGGTCTTGGAGAAGGTTGTTTCCTAATTTTCTGAGAAATCGCCATACAGATATCCAAAGGGGTTGTACCAGCTTGCATTCCCTCCAGCAATGCAGAAGTATTCCCTTTTCCCCACAACCTCTCCAGCATAAGTTGTCTTCAGTGTTTTTGATCTTGGCCATTCTTACAGGTGTAAGATGGAATCTCAGAGTTGTTTTGATTTACATTTCTCTGATGACTGAGGATGTTGATCATTTCCTTAAGTGTCTTTCAGCCATTTTAGATTCTTCTGTTGAGAATTCTCCATTTAGTTTCGTAACCCATTTTTTAATTGGGTTATTTAGAATTTTGATGTCTAATTTCTGGAGTTCTTTATATATTTTGGAGATCAGACCTCTGTCTGATATGGGGTTGGTAAAGATCTTTTCCCATTCTGTAGGCTGTTGTTTTGTCCTCTTGAACAGAGTTGTTTTCTTTTTTTTTTTTTTTTTTTTTGGTTTTTCGAGACAGGGTTTCTCTGTGGTTTTGGAGCCTGTCCTGGAACTAGCTCTTGTGGACCAGGCTGGTCTCGAACTCACAGAGATCCACCTGCCTCTGCCTCCCAAGTGCTGGGATTAAAGGCATGTGCCACCACCGCCCGGCTCTTGGAAGTTTTTTTAATCACTGTATGGGTAAAAGCAACTACTGTCAGTCACTGGTCATGAGGTAGTGTGGTGAGCAGATGGGAAGGGTTCTACAGTTCTGTGATGTGACCCAGTCTTGTGACAGAGGACTTCACAGTGAACACATCACAGAGTTTACTTCTGAGCTCTCCTCACCCTTGGGCAGAACAAGATGGCTAGCGTTTCCCTTTTCCAGTCTAATCAGGCTGTAAGAAAACCCCAGCTGGCCGAGCTCTCACCAGACATTCCTCCCAAGGCAGGCCTTGCTAAGAAGAGTGCGGCACTTGGGATTATTTTTGAATATTCTTTCCCTTGCCCTGCAGAAGCAGAGGGGCTTTTTCTCTGGCCTGTGAGGTGCTGACCTAAGTTTTCACTCTCTGATTTGTTCACATAGAACTCCTGGCAATTTACCAGTTATAGCTCAGGTTTCCCTGTCCTGGTTCCGGCAGAGATAAGAGCTTGGGCATTCTCCTCACTTTCTCTAACTTGGGGTGCTGGTTTGCCTGTGACTCCACATCTCTAAGCTTGTTGCTTAGGGTAGAATGGCAATGCCAACACTTCTATGCACTAGACTGTATCTTCGTTTTGTTTGGTTTGGTTTGCTTTAGATAAGATGAGTAAAGACAGGACAAATGGGAAATCTCAAGCTTTGAAGGAGTTCTTCTGAAACCCAAGATGTCTGGATTTGAGCAGAATTTATTGCATTGATTGGCCTATTACACAGGTCCTATCTCAATTTTCAGAGACTAGTTTGATTTCCACTTGACCCAGACACTTTGGATCTGAACATGGAGGGTACATTATGAATGAGCGAGCCTGATGTGAGCAGCCATGGACAATCTAATTACATCTTAAATGGAAGCTGGCCTAAAGGGCTCAGGTTGCCTGTCTTTTACCATATTCCCAAACCATCCGTTTTCCTGAACATGGCATTCAATCCCTGTAACACTTGCTCCTGCACCTCTACACGGGTACTCCAGCTTGGCCGGACTCCTCCAGGGGCCAGGTAAACAGCCAAAACTCAGGAACCACACACAATCATTCTTAGGCTCCAAAGTCTCTTTTGTTTTACTCCCTTCCTTCTCTAATCACATTACTGAGAAATTTACAGAGTTACTGTTGGCAATTACCAACTGTGAGGAGAGGCTCAGCCTATTTAGAAACAGAATTTAACTAACTAAAGGTCTCCAGGTAGATGTGGGCAGCCCGGTGAAAGTACAGCTGCGATCTGGGGAAGAGAAATTTCCAGGAGTTGTGCACTTCAGAGGACCATTATTAGCGGATAGGACAGTTTCGGGGATTTTCTTTAGAGTAGAATTGCTGGTTAGTTTGATAGGACATTTGAGAGAGAAGGAGAGACAGAGAGCGTATGAGAAAGAGTGTGCACGTGAGCAAGAGACCACGAGCACATATTTTCCCCTTTATAAGATTCGTGTTTTCTGTTTGTTTGTTTTAGTACAGTTCTCAGAATGGACCTCAGGACCCTCTGCCTCTGAGCTATAGTTCAGCCCCCAAATTTATTTAATGATAAATTGAGAGGATATAAAGACAATTCTTGAAAACTTTAAAAAATTATCTCTTACGGTAGAAACTTACAAGTCATTATTCTGGACTTCATATTTTAGAAGCTTTTAAGTTACCTATATTAAAAGTTAACACTGCCAATTGTAATTATAAACACTTAAAAAATTGTGAACTCTCTTGTGATAGTGCCCACCAGATTCCCAGTTCTTAGTGTATGCTACTAAGTATAACAGTTTAGAGGTAAAATTTTTGAAGTGTGTTGCAGCAATTTCAGTTTGCTCATGCTTATCCCCGGAATGTATAAACTGCCTTGGAACTTAAGTGCCTTGGCAACAGATCTAAGAATTCTATATTCCAAACTGACTATTGGTTCACATTTGGACACTCTCAGGAGTAGAGAGAGGTCGTGCTTTACTTGCTTCTTGATTTGGCTTTTCAAGTAGTGAAATAATTAGGCTGTGACTGCCAGCTATGGTATGTACTAGCAGGGTTGCCAGCTACTTAACCTACATCAAGTTCTCCTGACCTGTTCCTCATCTGTGAAGTGCTTAGAGCACACATGACTTATAGTAGTTGTATGGTGGATAGCTGTAGATGGTTACAGTTTGTTCTCAGTAAATGGAGCTGATGCTGCTGTTTGGTTAAAGTTGAATGCCTGTTCATGACAAAAGTCGTGGTAGAACTATGTTGTAAATTTAATCCTCACTCTTTCTCAAAAGAATTATGATCTGAAATTATGAGTTAGTTTCATCATCAGATACAGCTTCTTTATTCTTTAAACACCCTAAACCCAACAACAGCTCTAGTCATATTTCATATTATGGATAGAATTTAGAGTTTTTCCAAAGTAATTTCCTGAAATCCCTTTAATGGATAATCTTTTCATATCTCTTTTTTAAAAAAACTTTGAAAACTAGGAAGAACCTTGTGGCCAAGGTTTCACTGATGGGGTATATCAAGGGAAACAGATTTTTCAGTGTGATGAAGATTGTGGCGTGTGTGTGGCATTGGACAAGCTGGAGCCCATAGACGACGATGACAATGGATTGGAAAGTGATTTTGTAGTCCCGATGGATACAATGCAGGCTGAACCTCCCCCTTTGGAAATAAACTCCAGAGTATCGCTGAAGGTCGGAGAAAGTGTAGAATCTGGAACAATAATATTCTGTGATGTTTTGCCAGAAAAAGAGAGTCTAGGATATTTTGTTGGTGTGGACATGGTAAGGATTTTTTGAGTTTTATTATTGTAAATATATGTTAATTTTATTATCAATTTAGGAATAAATTGAACACTTTGTATTCTTAAAATGGACTAATTTACAGTATTTTAAAGAACTTATTCCAGTTTGTCTTTGGTACAGGAACATTACATTAGGAATGTGAGCAGAAACAATGTTTCCCACATTTTTTTCGTGTTTTAATAAACTGGGCTAATACTCTCAGTCTTTAAATTCTCCTTATTTTAACTGACCAGTAGACAAAACCAAAAATCAAACCAAAACAATAAAACAAACTGACATTTCTCTAAGTCCAAATATATTGTATGATACTGTATTTTTCTTTAATTTAAAAATACTTTTGATACTTTTTTTGTATATTTGCTAAAGTTTAATTAATTTTCTCATAATAATGAATATAGAAAGTTATTAATAGAAAATACTCCGGAAAAGAACCATACTGCTTTTTGAGTTGACAGAGTATTCCCACAGGATTTTCACTGTCTAAAAACTGGTTTCTTATTGCGGCAAACTGTGTATAAGAAAGGTTCCAGTGTAACCATGGTTACACTAACAGTTCAAATCATTTGGCATATTCTCATCATGGCCTCTCCACTGTCTGTCTACAGAACTTTTTCATCATCCTGTACTGTGTGCTCTGTTTCTATTAAATAAATTCTGCCCAGTTTGCCCATGCCTGGTAACTACAGACTGGGTGTTTGCCTGCTGTAGGTACCTGAGAAGTGAGGTCATATGGTATAATTTGACTCCTTTTGTTTGTGTCACTCATTTTATTACTGAATAACCATACTTGATACCAATGGATGCATTCCAGTGCACATAGTGAATTAACGTGGCCCTAAGAGAATGAGGAGAAAGAAGTTGAGAACATTTTTATCATAGACTGAAAGTATAGTCAAAAGTTCATTATGGATAAAGGAGATGCCTTCATAATTGTTCTTACCAGGGTGTGTTGGGAGAGGATTATGAGCAGCAGACTCACACAGTGAATATTTTTAATAATCATTTTTATTTATTCATAAATGCTCTACAGAGATGGTTGGGTATGAATGTTCCAGTGTGTTTCTGTTGCCTTGTACTTAGAAATTGTGTAAGATGGCTCATTAGTTAGGTACAAAATAAGAATTTGCCAGACTCTCGCTATGTGAAATTAGAGCCAGAGTAAGACCCGTTGGTCTCTCAGAATCGTTATTAATTAAGAACAAGAATTCTCTAAATGAGAGTTTAGTGTTTCAGAGGAGTTGTAGACTGGGTAGAGAGAATGTTGGAGAAAGAAGGCCATTAGTTTTTGGACTTAGTCTTTCCTTGCTATAGGTTTCTTGGGCCAGGCTTTAGATGTTACAGGAACTGTTTGGGTCCTCTCCCTTCTTATTGGTGACCTAGGAGGTCATCTTATTTAGCCCAGGCAGGCTGTCTTGAGACTTGCCTGCCAGCTCCACACAAGTTCTGTCCATTGTTTGATTTATGCGAGCATCAGTTCCAAACAGTCCCGTTAGACTTCTTGATAAGAAAGTTCGTCGATCCTAACTTTACTCATGGCTGTCTGCTTCCAGGGACAAGCTAACATTCCTCACTGGTTCTCAGGGCAGTTGTTTCATGACCATCTGCTTGTGCCTCACGAATAACTCCTGTGCTGGTGACACAGTAGAGAATAACTTAGAAAATCAAGACTTTCCCCATTTTTTGAGGAAAGTCTTGTATACCCACAGATAACAAGAGAATTCTGAAGTTAACTGCTCTTCTGTTTATAAAAAGACACACAGTAATACAGTGAGCAAAGTGCCCAGGGGATGCAGATGTGTGATTAACTTTAAGGGTAGGTTTCTGGGTAAAATAATGCAATCCTAGTAAATTTTCTTTTGCAGACAATGTCTCTTTAAACCTCAGCTGGTGTTATTACTGCAGACTAAAGTATGAAAAAGGCTTTTGATTCATTATTTTGTGTGTTTGCTGTAAGTTGATTGTTATTATTTTTATTGTAAAACGTTGTTACTTTAGCAGATATTTCTAATACAGCCTTTCTTTTGTGCAAAAGTTAACATTTTTCTATGAAAGATATCTTAGATAATACTTTTGAAAGAAATGTTGGTGTTCACATTTATATTTATTGACAAAGGTATATAAAGGTTTACTTTTTTGGCATTTCAAGGATAACCCTATTGGTAACTGGGATGGAAGGTTTGATGGAGTACAACTTTGTAGCTTTGCAAGTGTTGAAAGTACAATTCTTCTGCACATCAATGATATCATTCCAGGTATGTCTCCTTTATGTATTCAGAAGATAGTTTTTAACATGTATTTTGTCATGAGAATGCAAATATATACTAAAGATGGATCTTTTGAAGTTGGCTTTATATTGTAGAATTGTCGTTATATAGACTAACCTTTCTTTTCTCCCGAAACAAGGCAATAAAGGTTATTTCTAAAAGTATGTAAGTATAGTGAAGTTTATACAGTATCTCTTACATTGTCTTCTCCTAGACATTCTAATAGAGAAAGAAATCCTGTCTTGTAATTGGAAGGTTCAAAAATACAAAAAAAATAAATGCTGTTTCTTGGAGTAAGAGATGAAGCTAGAAGCTTTTAAAAAAATTTATTATCTCATTTAAACTCCACAGAGGATTCAGGATTCGTATTAAATAATGGCTGAAGTTCCTTTTTTGTTGTTTTTAATTATTTTTTTCATTTATTTTACATCCTGATCTCAGTTTCCCCTCCCTCCTCTCCTCTTGTTCCCCCCCGCCCCTGGCCCTGGTTGCCTCCCCTTTGTTTCTGTTCAGAGAGGGGCAGGCCTCCCATGGGTGTTAGAGTATGGCATATCAAGTTGAGGTAGGACTAAGCTCCTCCCTTTCTATTAAGACTGGGCAAGGCAATCCAATATGATGAATAGGTTCCCAAAACTTAGCTTAAGAGTTAAGGATCCCAGTGTTAGGAGTCCCACAAGTAGATCAAGCTACACAACTGTCACACATATGAAGAGGGCTTAGGTCAGTCCATGCAGGATCCTTCACTATTGGTCCAGAGTCTGTGAGCTCCTATGAGCCCAGGTTAGTTGTTTCTGTGGGTTCCTCCCTTTCTTCAACAGGATACTTGGAGTTTGACCCAGTGCTTTGGTATGGTTCTCTGCATCTGTTTCCATCAGTTACTGGATGAAGACGCTCTAATGACAATTAAGGTAGTCATCAATCTGAATATAAGAAATGTCCAGTTCAGGGACCCTCTCTACTGTTGCTAGGAGTCTTCTCTGGGATCATCCTAGTGAATTCCTTGAATTTAGCTGACATGAGGTTTCTTCCTGACCCCGAAGTGCACCCTCATCGAGACAACTCTTTCATCATTCTCCCCCTCCAAGTTCTTTTTGTTTTAAGATGGTATTATGGTAGATCATGCTTCATAACTGTAGTCAGAAACTATTACATAGTTTTATTATATCTGTTATTCTTAGTATTTTACTACATATATTATTTATTACAAAATAATAATTAGGGCAAACAAGATGGCTCAGTGGGTAAAGGCACTTGCACACACACACACACACACACACACACTGCTGGGTATGTAACACAGAGTGTTTTCCATTGGTATAATTGGTACAGTGGTAAAACACTTTACCATTGAGCTACAGCACAGCCCCTGAACTTAAAAAACAAATGAAATTAAAACACCACCCAAAAATGAAAAACAAAAAACACCCCCCCCCCAAAAAAAACCTTAAGAACCTTTTGTTTTGCCTCAAATAATATTTTCTTTGGCTGCTAAGAGGTGATTGACAATGGTAGTAACACCAACCACTGCTGTTAGAATTCCCAGTGATAGGCTAGTGCATTGAAGTCAATGGAGGCATTCAGAAATAGGGCTGTCCACAAGCCATAACCAGGGATGTGCCGGGCCTGGAATTAGATGGTTTATGCTATCTCTATGTCCTGAACAGATTTATAAGATAGGTCTTAATATATATATTGCTGATTAAAAATACAAAACAGGGATGTTGGAGAGATTGCTCAGTAGTTATGACACTGATTGCTTTTCCAGAGGTCCTAAGTCCAATTCTCATGGTAACTTACAGCCATCTGTAGTGGGATCTGATGCCCTCTTTTGGCATAAAGTCATACATGCAGATAGAACAGTCATATACATAAAATAAATAAATAAATATTAAGAACATATAAAGCAGAATAAACAACAAAAGCAACAAAAGCAAAACAAAATAAAAATCCTGGGGCTTAAATTATCTATGATGAAAGTGAGTGGCAGAACCAAAGTCCAAAACTCATCTGATTATGAACCTGTGTTCTCTTTAGTCCCCAACAAATCCCATATCCTACGAGTACTCTTGCATTGTGAACATCTGCATAATCCTCTATTTCTTAGTGTCACATACTGGGGAATATTATTTCCATGGAGATGGAGATGTATTTCGTTTCTGGTTCTATAAAAGATGATTTTACCGTAACAAGAATTATAAGTGAGCAACACACTGTATTTTCTCTTCTAGTGTTTTCCCATTATTGGTAAGGTTGACAACAGAATGCTTTTGAATTTATTTCTATAGCTTATTTTAGGCTCTGAATTCCTTATTTCATAAAAACAGAAACTGAAGGCTCCTAACTGCATTCTACCCTTCCTGTCTGCCTGTTGATGTCAAGTCATAAACTGTTCTACAGTTTGAACATGCTTCCCACGCAGCTTTTAGTTTTGTAGCAGGAGGCATGAGGTTCATATGTCAGCTTTACTTCAGTTCTGCTCTGAGAAAGTCTGACACACTTTACTTTTGATTTCTTT